GTTTCTCAACCCCGACAACTTTAAGATGTGTGGACTTCAACCCCCAGAATTCCCCAGCCAGCATTCCCCAGCCATTCCCCATGGCTGGCTGGGGAATTCTGGGAGTTGAAGTCCACACATCTTAAAGTTGTCGGGGTTGAGAAACACTGGAATAAAGCATAAAAAAAGTTTGCAATTACTGTCAAGTGTACAAGTGACGATGGGAGGAGTGGACAGGTCAACTGCAATACCCCAGCTTCTCCTGAAGCGACAATTCCCCAACAACCGTGTAAAGCAGTTCCGTTTTCGAAAAGGCAGGCAAGATTCTTAGACCCCACTGCCAGGAGGGAAAAGGCGCGTTTTTCTGCACGGAGGACGAAATCAAAACAGCTCCTTGCACGGAGGATGGATGAACCCTTCCCTTTCTTACTTTTGCCCCTGAACGAATACGCACCCCTCCCAGCACAGCACCACCCTCCAGAAGACTCAGCTCCCCTGGGCTGGATCCCCGCAAAATGCAAAGGAGGGAACAAAGTGATTCCCTCCCCTCTCTTGACCCGCTAGCTTTCTCCCTGCAAGGAGAGCCAGCCCTAGAGACGTATGGCTAAAGGGCAGGGTCTTCCTGAAGCAGCCTCTGAGCCTACCGCGCAGGTTAAAATAGACCTTCCTCTTTCCCTCCTCGCGGCAACGGTCCCCGCACCTGGACTTGCCACTTGCCCACGATCCTGTCCACAATTTCGTTGTTGTCCTTGTTCACCTTGGTCTTGTCAAAGCATTTCTCGTAGCAGAGGATGCGCAGATACTGCGAGCCTTCCAGCTCAATCTCAAATTCCTGCAGAATTGGGAAGGGGGGGGGAGTTTATGGAAGCCACAAAAGCAGGAGGGAAAAGTGAGAACTGATCCAAAGAGCACGTAGCTGCAAGGGGGAGGTTGGACTGCATCATGTGAAGGCAGGGTGGGGGCACGAATCAATTAGGGCGGGTGGAGGCAAGGACTGAAGTGAGACTTAAAGCAAAGAGGACAGAGATTTTCCTTCCCTGCTTTTTATTTGGGGGGGGGGTGTCCTTTTCATTTTGCAGTGCTGTTAAGCCAATCTAAGAGCTCACACCGGCTTGCATGTCTTTTCCACCTCAAAAGAAAAGGAAGCATATTGTTGTCTCGAATTCCAGCACTGGTGTTGCCAAAATTCAACCGTGCCGTTGGAAGGGGGATCACCAAAAGGTCTCCAAAAAGGGGACGCAGGCTGATCATTCCTCCCTTTCAAGCTTCTTCTAGAAACCAAAGCAGGCTTTTCCCACGCTGGCCCCAAATTAGGTGGGACTCTGGCGGCCTCTACAGTGGATGAATAAATAAAATAATAAATCAGCCCTGTGCCGCATGAAGTCAGGTCATCTTCAATTTACTGTACAGTAAATTGATATTTGGACATCGACCCTTCCAGGAATGCTCGAAATTCCTCTGCTGTGAAATGGCTGAGGGTGACCCGCCAAGCACTCAGCTCCTTTTTCTCCTTGGCAGCCTAACCAGAGGGGTGGCTTGTTACACGACCGGACCTAACAGAAGCCAAATTATCAACTGAGCAGCCACCATCTGCGAACGGGCACCGTTCTGCAGGAGCTGGTGGGCTGTGGGGGCCTCTATCTCGCCTCCTTCATTGGGAAATCTCCCACCCGGGACAGTGTCAGTACATCTGAGCATCTGCAGAATGCCATTTCAACCCCGGTGCTCAAGGCCATACGGGCTCAAGGAAAGAACACCAATCCCTCCAACAATGGCTAAAATCCATAAATAATTAAAAATAGAAACATACATTAAAAATCCTAAAAAAACCCTGTAATTTTTAGCCTTAATACCTTCGGGGGGGGGGAACCAAACCCATCACCCCACCAGCCATCTCCACAGATGCAAGCCCCCTCCGGCCCCCAGGCCTTCTGGCAGAGCCAGGATTTCACCCCTTTCCTGAAGGCCACGAGGGAGGGGGCACACTGGACCTCGGGAGGCAAGATGTTCCATGGGGCGGGAGCCACAGCAGAAAAGGCCCCCTGCCTAGACCCCACCAATTGGAATTCCTTGACCGGTGGGTCTGCAACTTGCCCCTTCTGCTGGACTGAGTGGGGCGGGCTGAAATAATCCCAAACGGGCTGGGGAAGGACCTGTATTTTGCCTGGTGGGAAGTGCCGGGGAGGCACTCTGTACATGCTCAGATGCACCCCGGGTTGCTCCAAGAGTCCTAGGAGAGTTTCCGGTATCGTGGTCTGACCCTGCGCTCCTCAACCGTTCTGCTCAACCCCGCAAAACGGATCTGCTGCCTGGCTTACCTCGTTCCACTGCGGCTCAGTGGTGTCCCGGAAAACTCGCGTTTTGGCCTTGCTCACAAAGTACCCAAAGGAGTCCACTTCGAGGGTACAGTAGAGGTCTAAGAACAAAGGAGAGAAAATCAATCAACATCAACGAAATCAATTCTATCTTCCAGTCGGGGAGGGACCATCTCTTAAAATCCACCCCTCAGATCAGCATTTCTCAACCTTGGCAACTTTAAAACGTGTGGACTTCATCTCCCAGAATTCCCCAGCTAGCCACAGGTGGCCATCAACTCCCAGAATTCGCCAGCCAGCATAGGGAATTTTAGATGCTGAAGTCCGCACATCTTAAGGCTGCCGATTAATGCATTTTAGATCAATGCATTTCAAAATATTCTGCTGAACCCACCGGGAAGCTGATTGTAAATTAGAAGAACACCGAGTCTGCCTATGATTGTTCTGGGGCTAATAAGAGAGTAGCCATCTTTTCCAATCTCAGGCACCCCACATCAAAGTAAAGAAGAACGAAAAGTTACCTCAAACTCAATCAAATATTTGCTTTCTGTGGCCAAAACCCTCAGCAAGACTGCCAAATGACTCGTGAGAACTCAGCCATGTTTTATTTTTACATCTGGAAAATTGCACTAATTTTAATTTTAAATTTTAGATTCTGGGAGTTGAGATCCACCCATCTTAAAGCTGCCAAGGTTGAAAAACGTTGCTCTAAGAGATGCTATCCTGCTCCTAACTCCACAGAAAGACTTTGGAGGGTGTCCTGTTAACGGTCACTCCCCGCCAAGTGATCCTCACCCGGCTGCTGATCCAAGATCCGGCTATCTAAAAACAAAAAGTACAGCTGGGGAATTGAGGAGGGGGCAGCTGAAGGCCTTGTGCAATTCAGTGGGGGCAAGTAAGCTGCTTTCCTTGGCCCTCTACTGCCCAGAATAATCCACTTTTCCTTCTGAACAAAGACAACAAGAACAGTGGAAAACATGGAAGGACGATGGCTGGGAGACCAGGACTGGTCCCTTATAAAATGACCACCCCATAGGGGGCTCACCTGGAAGCCCCCAGGCCCTTCCTTGGTGAAGCTGCAGCTGGGTCAAATCATGCCCAACCCTAAGACAGAACCACAGGGAAGATGGCACTTACTGGCAGATTGCTTGAAGCCCTTGACCGAGTGGACGATCACGTGCAAAAACCCACACATTCCTGGAGGTTGATCGTCTGCAAAGGAGGCGCCGGAGAGAGCAGTTAGGTGGCTTTTATTCTATTTGCACAGGGTTGAAATTGCAGCCATAACAAATTCAAGGAACCCAAACCTCAAGCTAAAGGTGAGATTCACCAGATTGCAAACAGGAAACCATTAATTAAAGGGGCAGTGGTGCCTGCAAAGAACAGGGAGGTCACTAATTAAGGGCCACGAGTAGGCGGGAGCCCCCACCGCGCTTTGCTAATACACGCTGGTTTTAGCAACTGTTTTTTTCAGACTGAGTTGCCACGTTCACTGGATGAATCACTTCAGCCAGCTGAAAAGTGTCTTCATTGGCCACAACTCTTCCCAAACATCTTAAGCCAAGTATTTAAAACAACTCCAAACAGCAAGCACTGACTTCGTGCCCTCCCAGTCCTCAAAAGCAGAAAAGTGGCTGAAATGTTTTGCACAAGCAACTATTTGCAAGCACACCACCATCTAGTGGTGGGAGAACTACAAATGTGAAACTTAGCCCTTGGAAACTTGTATGAATAAATCTGAATAGTGGTTTATTAATAGTGGTTAGATTACATCAGCTTTCTTAGTTTGTGTTTTAAGTTTGTTTGGAGTTGTCTCTTTTTCTAAGTTTTTTTTTTAAAGTTTGGAGATTGTTTCGTTAATTGTGCATGTATAACATTTTTGGAAAAACAAAAATTACATCAGATCAGGACTTGGAAAAGCAAGGTCGCTGTGATTACAAAATGGGAGGAGCTGGGAAGAACCAGGCCAAAGAGAACCTCTTTGGTCTCCTTGAAAGAAAGGAGGATGCAAAAGTAATAGATAAATAAACTGAAACGACATTCCTGACTTCCAGGGCCCACAGCCCCCCAAAGAAAGGTGAGCATTTCTCTGTAGCAGCACAAAGCATTCCGAGTTTCTGTTCCCAGATTGCAAGAGACTCTGGCAATGACTATCAGGCTAGGCTCTGAAGAATGGAAATCTGCCAGTGGCCAGGTGGAACCTCCAGTGTCAGAGGAAGTTTACCCCAGCATACTCCGTGCTTTGGGGCAATCAGCAAGGGAGTGGCCACATTGGCATTTTTTGCTGTGGAAACAGAATACCAGCCGCATCTCCTGGTGGGCTTCTAAGAGATGTTTCGGGGGTCTTTGAATCTGTCTCCGAACTGACCGTTTTGGCCCATCTTTCTCAGCAGAAGAATCTGGGGCCCAGGAGGCCATGGCGTGATTTTGATGCCAAATATGTGGTCCGAAGCTACAGCCTCCTATCCTAATGACACCAGCTTAGGTCCAGTCTGATTCTCAGTGTCTATCAATGCGGTTCTGGGAATGACAGGAGCAAACATCTGGAAAGCGAGCCCCAATCCTATGGGTCAGTAAGGGCTGGGGGTGTCAGAGATCCAAGCGGGTGCCTTCTGCACCACATGCCACAGAGGGGAGCGAAAAGCCTTTGGAAACAGGCAAGAAAATGCCAGGGCAGCCAGACCTCGGGGGAACATTGTCCAATTTCACCTCCCAATTTTGAGTGGATTCTACATTAAATGGGGGTTGGACTAAATGACCTCCCAGCTCTATGATTCTGCCACTGTCCTCCTATCTTGGTAGAAGTAGATTTTCAGACCCACTGCAACCAGGAACACATGTGGAAAGAGGTTGCATGTTCCACCTTCACTAAAACTTTCTTTAAGAAATCACCTGCTAGAAATAGATCACATGCAAACTTGGGCATCTCATTATAGTTTCTAAACAATGTATTAAATGCATGGGAAAAGAGAGAGCGTTCTTCCACCTGTCCTATTTCACTACAGGTAGTCCTTGACTTACTGCCATTCATTTAACGAACGTTTGAAGTTACAATGGCGCTGGAAAAAGTGACTTACGACTGGTCCTTGCACTTATGACCATCGCAGCATCCCTGCAGTCACATGATCATAATCTGGGTGCTTGGCAACCAGCACGCATCCATGACGGTTGCAGCATCCTAGGGTTACATGATCGCCATTTGCGACCTTCCCAGCCAGCTTCTGACAAGCAAAGTCAATGGGGGAAGCTGGATTCACTTAACGACCATGATGAAAAAGGTCGTAAAATCGGGCGCAACTCACTTAACAACCACATTGCTTAGCAACAGAAGTTTCAGTCCCAATCGTGGCTGTAAGTCAAGGACTACCTGTATACCTTTCTTTTCTGCTTATTTTTAAGGCAGACCCCATAACATTGAAAAGCTTAAGAGAGCATGCACTTAAACCCACATGCTGTGGGAGGGAGGCTGCCCCACAGTCAGCAGAGAAAGAGCATGACAGCAAATCTACGATCACCACGACTGACAACCTGCCCATTTCAGAAACGGGGAGACTGATCAGCGCCCTAAAAGCAGGGGCTCCTAATCCATAATGCCGGGTGGGAAGACAAGCAAAAAGCAGAAGGGCTCGAACACGGTTTCGACACACGGGGCTTGCTCTTGAATTCTCAGCGATTGCACTAGCCAAGATTAAAACAACCCACACTGCCTGTGTGGAGGAAGACATCCAGGGCAGGCAACGCCAGAAGAGCAGGGGACAAGCGTACTCACCATCTGCGTTGCTGGTGAGAGGAATGTTGTGAACAGTCCGTAGCTTGAAACAGGATCCCATCAGAAATTGCAGTTCCACAGAACTCAGCACAAAGGTCTGGAGATCTATGGGGAATTGCAAAGGGTTAGCCAAAAGGAGAGTCCCCTAGCTGGAGGAGTCATTATGGGAACTGAAGTCCAAGATGTTAGGAGGACACTAGGTTGGGGAAGACCGGGATGCAGAAATCTTACCCCAAAGCATCAGGATATAACAGAGATTCGTCTCCACAGAAGCACCCCCTGACTTAAAGACCATCCCCCCCAAAAACGGGAAAAGAATATTTTTAAGGAACCACATGGATCCCAGGGAGCCTCGGCAGGAAGCCCTACCCCTTGGCTCCACCGATCGCTTCTCGTTGCACGGACCACCAGCTGAGGAGCCAAGATGGCCGTGATGGGGATGTAGGCATTCGACCCGCAGCGCGCCATACCTTTCTTCTGCAACTTCTGGATCGCCTCCCTCCACTCCGACCGCTCGTAGTCCGAGGACAGAAGGAACAGGTAGCTCTGGGGAAGGCAACAGAGAGCAAGGCAGGGGCTTTGAGAAAGGGGCCTGGCACCCTCCCCTGGACTCTCCTGAAGGAAGCTCTTCTTAACCCAGAGAAGGGACGGATTTGGGTAGGGGTCCAGGGTAGAGGGCTGTCAGACCCCCTTCTCTGCCCAACACCCTGGAGACCCCTCTGCTGTTCCTTCAGAAGAAGACAGCCAGGCCAGATGAACTGACTGGCTAGGCAGGAGGCAGCTCCTGTTTGTCAGCTCGAACGTCGGACCATTTTTGCCAACCGGTAACGCTGGGATCTGCAGGAAGGATGCCTCAGGGGACCCACGGGAAACGCACCGTCCCCCAAAGTAAGGGAAACCAGGCAGCTTCCTTCAGTGCCAGCTTCCAGAGAGCTGCTCCTTCCTGTCCCCAACCCCTGCCCAGGCCTCACCTTGCCGTTGCGGTTGTGGATCCGCAGGGGGATGGAGGGCGAGTTGAGCAGCAGCCAGAACTCGTTGTCAAACATCTTCTTCTTGAGGCGCTCCATGGCTCGGCTCTGGCCTTTGTTGGCCTTCTGCAGAGGAGGAAGAGGAGGACCGCTTGCGACACCGAACCAAGCCTCCCAGCTGGACACTTGGGCCAAAGCGGCCCAGCCCCAGGCCTTGAGGCCATCTCTGCACAGAGATGACCTTGCGGAAGGTCTGAGGAGACCGTTAGGAAAACAGGAGCTGAGCCCGGGAAAATGAGGCCGCGTGAGAAAGAAACTCAAGGCTGCCCCGCCTTGATTCTCTTTAGTATCAGAGGGAGGGACGGGGAAACACCGTCAGGCTTGCAAGGTTCTGTTATCGTAGCTTCTATCACTAAAGTAGAGTCCTAGTATTTGTTGGGGTGCCTGTTTGGTGACCTGGCCTCCCTTGAAGGGCTGACCGTCTTTAACCCTCAACAGCATCCCGGAATCTGATTTGCAAAGCAGCCCCTGCAGAGGGGGCCAGGAGAGCTTTCCAACAAATTAAAGCCAACAGTTCATCCCTTTGCTCCTAATTCCATTACCGTAAGCTGGAAGACAGGGGGCACATTTAAAAATAAGTAAATGATGCCGCAGGAGAAGTATGTGCCCCCCTCCCCTCTCTCTAAGCAGAGCTAAACAATCTGCCTGCCCTCTACAGACCTCCTTCTGCACTTCACTCTTCATCGAGGAAATCTTGATTTTCATGTCTTCCAGATCATGGTCAGGCATGGCCTGGACGTGCGGACACAGGTCTGACTCTTCCAACGATGGGAAGACCAGCTCAGCCAAAGGGATGTACCACTTGCACTCATACTGTTGGTGTTTTCTGCGGAAAGAGGACCAACCTCAGCCTGAAAGGATTCTACCACCAATTTGGGTCCCACCTGGTTTTATGCACACCTGGGCAGCCCTCTTTGAAAACTCCTTGTCACCTTAATGTCCTTTCAAAAGTTGAGAGGTAGTCCTCAACTTATGATCATTCGTTTAACAACCATTCGAAGTTACGACGGCGCTGAAAAAGTGACTTACAACCGGTCCTTGCACTTATGACTGTCACAGTGTCCCCATGGTCATGTGATCAAAATTCGAGCACTTGGCAACTGGCATGTATTTACAAGCATCCTGGGGTCACGTGATTGTCATTTGAGACCTTCCCAGGAGACTTCTGACAAGCAAAGTCAATGGGGGAAGCCCGATTTACTTAATGACCACAGCGAAAAAGGTCATAAAATTGGGCGCGACTCACTGAATGAATGCACTGCTTAGCGATGGAAGTTCCAGTCCAAATTGTGGTCATAAGTCGAGGACTACCTGTATTTCAGTTGATGTGACTCCGAGTGGCTAATGTAAGTTAAAAACTCAACCAAGCCAAATATTAATAAATATACATAATGGCAGCTGAAGATAACGATCACCATAAATAACATGTTGATCTCCCCGGCCCCATTAACCTCCCGACCCCCATGCCGAGAATAACAGCCATGTTTTTAAGGCTTTACGAAATATCAGCCGAGTCAGGACCAACCGGATCTCGAGGAGGATGGTGTCCCGAAGGGCAGTGTGAAGACAATTTGCCCAATCTTTCTTCTCTCTGCAAACGTGCGCCTGCAGCATTAAATACTCAATATAAAATCCCATGTTGAGTTAAACCACACTAGGGAGCAATATGAGGGTAGCCAGAGGTACCGTGATAAAAAAAAATTAAGGGGAACAGCTTAAACAGTGGCAAACTAAGCTAAAATCTAACTAATTTGCTATTTATATGTTTTTGCTGATCAGAGGCCCAATGAGAAAGGCAAATCGCGCAGATAGACAGAAGGGTTGGTGTAGTTTGATGGAGAAAATATTCTATTATCCTGATTCACCCTAGAGGAATATTCGCCTCCCAGCCCACTTCTTCTCCCTGAACTCTTTGTTGTATTCTCAATGGATGTGACAGGCGTGACTTCAAGAACAGCAGTCCAACTTTGCTTTTTTTTTTCCTCTTCCCTCCTCCTCCTCTTTTCCTCTTGCAATGCATTGTAGGCTGTCAGCCCCAGGGCAGAAAGTATCTCTTTTTAAATTGACTTTACATCAATAAATTTACAGGGTCCACTGGAGTTGAGTGGCCAGTACGTTTGAATGAATGAATGAATGAATGAATGAATGAATGAATGAATGAATGAATGCCTCTCTGAAATATTTTTTGGCAGTAAAGCAGGCTTAAAAGGCTAAAGAAAGAAATGAATGGTCAGCAGGTATATCAGGGCCCGCTGAGCCCTGCTCATGTAATAGAAAGCCCGTCTTTCAGTAGATTTCAAGAATGCACTGGATACTTCTCACCTTGAAAACGGCCAGCAAGTTTTATGCAATTTATGATGGTGTATTACGTGTATTTTTTATGTTTTTTCTTGTTTTTAAATTGTTTTCTTGTTCTTTTTA